CACAGGCCCTGGGAGATTGTGGGAAGAGGGAATTGCAGACAGGGTCAGTGCCAAAGTTAAAAGACCCTTCCAGGCCTTGAGACTTCAGCCCCCAGCCCTGCCCTTGTGTCTCCTTAGGAAGACAGAAGGAACTGTGCTGTCAAAGGGGTGTCACAATGCCCCAGCCCACGCAAATTCTCCCCACCTGGGCACTCCCAGTACCTCCCAAGAGTCCCCGGGAGCTCCGGAGCCCCTGACCACCAGAAGTTCCATCTCACCAACAAGAAAGGCCCTGGTCAAGGATGTCCCAGGTGGGATGACCTTACAGGGCTGCATCAAGGCAGCCCAAGGTCACAGGAAGTCTGATTGACAGGAGAGAGTATGAAGGCCCCAGCCTGGCCCACCTGCATGGCTGGGAGCTGAGGCCCTCTTACAAAAGGCTTAGGGACCAGTGCTGCTGTGGAGCGCCCCCCCCCCCATCCCCCGGGGGAGGGAGCAGGAAGCAGGCCACCATTCCTCTGCCCCTTCACTTCCCAGAGTCATTTCTTGGGCTGCTAGCCTGCACTTCCCAGTCTCCTAGGCAAACTTGTGACAAGTAACAGTGACAGCTGAAGCTTCCTGAGTGCTCAAGAGGCATAGGCAGTTTATGTAGAATGTCTCATTAAATCCTCGTGGTAACCCTATGAGATAGATTCTATTTTTTTTTTTTTTAAGAATTTAGAACAGTGTTTCACCCGGCAAGCTTTTTGTTTTTTAATGTTTATTTATTGATTTTTGAGAGGGAGAGAGAAAGAGAGAGCAGGGGAGGGGCAGAGAGAGAGAGAGAGTCAGAATCCCAAGCAGGCTCTGTGCAGCAGAGAGCCCGACGTGGGGCTTGAACTCACAAACCATGAGATCGCGACCTGAGCCCAAAGCAAGAGTCAGACGCTCAACTAACTGAGCCACCCAGGCGCCCTGTCCCTACGAGATAGGTTCTTTAGGTGTTCCCCCTTGAGAGGTGGGAAAAAGGAGGTACAGAGTGTTATAAAGTACTGAAAGCTCAGGCACTTGGTGTGAGCCACGGAGCTGGGATTTGAACTCCAAGCCCCCAGGCTACACAGCCTCACAAGGGAGCTAAGGCCAAGCTCTCTCGGCCTCCTCATCTGCTCCCTCCCCCGCCCCTCTGCCCCACCGCACACAGACAGGCTCTCACAAAGGTTCAGATGAGCTTGTTGGAAACCTGCAAGGAACTGCCGGATGAGGCTGATAATAATTACTATTTGTATTGTGCCCTGAAAGTTCCCACACTCATCACACCCTCACGACACACTGGTGAAGCAGATGGCCTTATTATCCTCATTTTGCAGGTGAGGCCACCAAAGCTCAAAGAGGTTCCGAGACTTGCCCAAGGTTGCCTGACCTGTAGGGCAGAGTGAGGCCCTGAGCTCAGGCCTTCACACTCCAAAGCCCGGGCACATTCCCTTGTACCGGGTGCCCTGGGAGGCTTAAGGGCCTCACCTGATGCTGTGATGCTGTTCTGTTTGCATTTCAACAGGGCCCCGAGGCCTCCCCGCCAGAGAGTGAGGCGCGGATGGCAGGCGCTGGGCCTGAAGTGTTTCAGGCGACAGTGTCTTCCCAGACCCGCGGCACTACCACATATGAGATATTCTTGCCCTCCTCGGAAAGCCCCGCTCTCGAGTCACCCCCATCCCCTTTCCAGGCCCTGGCAGCAAGGACAGACACTATGCCCGTGGGGTGCGGGTGGAGGGGTCATAGAGGGAGAGGTCTATTCGGGATCCTTCTTTTGGCTCCAGCTGGAACCCCAAGGAGAAATAGGGTAGTGGGATTCGGAAGGGAGGGAAGGGGCTGGGGAGACCCTCTACTTGCCCTCTAGGCTACTTTGCTCCGTGGACCCAGAGGCCTTAAGCCTCCGGCCTGAAGGCTGGCAGGAAGCAGGGAAGGAGTTAGGGGTCTTCCCCAAAGCTCTAAAGCAGGCATCTCCGCCTTGACACTTGACTCGTGTGCTGCTAATTGTCTATTGCGGGGCGGTCCTGGCTCTGTAGGATGGTCAGCAGCATCCCTGGCCTCTACCCACTTTTGGCTGTGACAATGGGGATGCTATTCCCCGCTGGAGGCCAGTAGCATCCCCATTGCCACAGCCAAAAATGCCTCAGGCATCGCCAAATGTTCACGGCCCCCCACCCCCCTGCACTTGATAGGAGGACTGGGAGGAGGAGCCGGTTAAATGAAACCAGACGTTAACCTGGAAAGTATGCATTCGGGCCCCACCCTCCCCCCCCCCAGAGCTGGCTGTGCTGGGCCCTGGGCAGGCGATGGGGTGTTCTCAGCCCTCTGGGGTTAGTCACCTGGAGCCTGGCTGGGCCCTCGGAAGGGGCAGGGCAAAACTGTGCTGCCTGGGCTTCTTCCTCCTCCCCCTCTTCCTCCTCCCTTTCCCCTTCTTCCTCCTCCCCGGGGATGGTCCCTCTGCCCTAGTTTCTGTGAGGGCCTCATCCCTAGATGTGCTCAAGGCCTGGGTCCCCCTCACCCCAAGGCCCCAAATGTTGCCGTAGCAGCCACTGGGGCATAACTGGCAGGTAGACCCAGGAGGGCCCAAGTCAGGGCCTGGGCTGGGGCAGAGAGAGAGGGGAGTGTTCAAATCCTGGTTCCCCCACTAACTAGTCTGGAGCTGCGGGAATTATGGGGGGGGGGTCTTCGTGCTTCGATGTGAACTTAAACGTGCTTCGATGCCTCCAAGCCTCATCTTCCACATTTGAGACATGGGAGTAACACCTCAAATGGCTCTTAGGAGCTTTTGCAGAGCTGAGCGGCTAGTGCCTGGAGCTGGGGAGATTCTCGGTCCCATGAGCAACATTATCGCCCTTCCCTCTGCGGTTCTCTGGTCAAACCCCCAGCCATTCTGAAAGCACGTGCCTCTGTCACTCTTGACACCAGCCTCGCAAGCCTGAGGTGCGGGATCCGGATGGCTGAGACTGAGGCGGGGTGTGGGGTGGGGGGATGCGCTATGGTTCCCTCATCTCCAGATCCGTGGCCACGGGCTGAGGCCTTCTGCAGTGTCGAGAGGACCGGAACCCCGCATCCTCAGAATCATACTTAATATGCTAAACATCCTGCAATGTCCAGGACTGCCCCACAACAAAGAGTCATCGGGGGCGCCAGGTGGCTCAGTCAGTTAAGCGGCTGACCTCGGCTCAGGTCATGAGTTCACGGTTGGTGAGTTCGAGCCCCGCGTCTGGCTCTGTGCTGACAGCTCAGAGCCTGCAGCCTGTTTTGGGTGCTGTGTCTCCCTCTCTCACAAATAAACATTAAACATTTTTAATAAAACGAAAGAATCATCAGCCCACAGTGTCCGTGGCGCTGAGGGCAGGAAGCTCCGATTTGTACAAGTTTACGTTGTGGTGTCTGTTACCTGCACACTCAGAGCCTGGCGTATAAGAGGAATCATTTTGAATGAACGAGTGAACCAGTGAAGCAAATAATGTCATATCCTCAGCTGTGCTAGGAGATGGTAACTTCAGACTCCAGCGTTCAAGGCCCCGCAGCGTTCCCGCCAAACTGGGAGATCCGGCTGCCCCTCTCTTCGGCTGCCCTCCTGCTGCCCAGAACCCCCATCAGGAGCTCAGCAAGCTGACCGCATGAGGGCAAAAGTAGACTGGCAGCCCCTGTCCTCCCAGGGCGGTGGACACAGGATGGAGTCATGGAGTATAGGGTGTGGACCCTGGGGTCAGCCAGGCTTGAGTTCAGTCCCAGCCTGGCTCCTCACCAGCCGCCTGACCCTAAACTTGTGACGGACATCCTTACTACAGCTTTCTCAACTATAAATAGGACGCATGACGATACCTTCCTTAAAGGGTAATGTGAGGATTAGAAGAGATAACCCATGTAAAGAGTTTGGTGCTGTGCTTGGAGCCCATGGTGAAGAACGATCGCTGATTACCGCCATCATAGCTCATTTCTTGTGTGGTCCCCCCCCCCCCCCGCTCCTAACCCCACGGCCAGGCCTCAAGGGCTCTGGGAAGGCCGTTCCACGCTGTTCTCCAGCTTGGTTGTGTGCCAGCACTGGGTGAAGCCCCAGGGGCACAAAGGGGACTAGGATGTGGTCCTGAACACTGGGAGCGTTTTACAGGCTGTTGAACCGTTAGCAGGAGCCCGGAAGGACCAGGATTTGGGGTTGGCATGAGGCGAGCACAGCACCCAGGGCAGCAAGATGTAAAAAGGGGTTCGGCGCACCTCCTTAAAATGTGCACTTGCCTCCCCCCAGTCCCAGCCTCGCAAAGGACCATGTCCCAAGAGGAATGCCTGAAGGCCCAGAGGAGGGTGAAACAGGGGTGGGGGTTGCAGCACCAGAGGCTTCCTGGAGGAGGTGTCAAGAGGACTGCTGGCTTGGAAGGAGAGGAAGAATTTTGAAACACACAGCTGAGGGCACACACATTTCTGGGTAGGAACCTACGGCAGCAAAGGCGGCTTGGGAAGAAAGCCCTGGGCAGGTTTGAGTTGGGCAAGGCGTTTGTAAATTACATGCAGAAGGAAAGAACGTACATTCTTTCTTGGGTACCAGGGATTTCTTCTGTAAGACGGCAGGGGTTCAACTTCCAGGAGCTCTATAGCGAGGGCTCCTTCCCGGTTCCAGTTCCCCGGGGTGGCCGGGAGGACTGCGAGGCTGGGCCGAGCTGAAGTGGGTTCCCCCCCCCAGCTGTCGCCTGGAGGAGCGGGACAGAGCCAGCCTGGCACCGAGGCATTGGTCCTTTGCGCTGTGCTGTTGTGACTGTGAAGGCCCCTAATAAAATGAACGTCTGGTACCTGGGAGACGGTGTGGGGGTCAAAGGTGAACAAAATAATTCAGTCCAGGGGGTAAACAAATGTCCCTACAGTGGGATCCTTGTGGCACTGGGGGCCTCCTCGAGGGGTAGACCTCCATGCCCAGTCAGCCAAGAATGGCGATTATGAAAAGCTGGCATTGTCACTTTGTAACAATGAGAGGTGTTCTAAAATAGAATGGGCCGGCTGGTTGGAAGGAGAACACCCCTTACTAGAACCCAGTTCAATTGAACCAGCCTTTATTGAGCGCGCACTGAATGCCTTGGTCTGGAGGAAAACAAGGAATAGGATTTTGGAGGCCATTATGTCAAGGGTAAGGTTGAGAGAGCACGGCCTTGAAGGTGCTCGGGGCCAAAAGGGAAAGAGAATCTCCCTGATGGATGGGAGGGAGGGAGGGAGGGAGGGCATGCCGGGCTGGGGGATCGGCCCCGGACAAAGGCAAGGAGGCCTGGAAGGACACATTGCCAGCAGGGGTGATGGGCGGAAGGTCCGGCTAGAGCACAGGGCGAGGGGAGCCCCATCCTCAGAGTTCTTGCTTTTCAGGCTAGGGGCCTTGAGATGTCTTGTCTAGGCAGTAGAGAGCAACAGAGCACAGGCTGGGAGGCAGGAGGACAGGAGGGCTTGGTGGAAAGCTGAGTAACCCTTCAGGAGAGAGGAGGCAGGCCTGGCGGGACAGCGGCAGAGGAGGGCCAGATGGGAGTGACTTGGAGGACAGGGACAGACAGACAGCTGGACGTGGGGGAGATGGGGGGGCGGGTTGAAGATGAGCCCGGCTCTTAGCCTCTGAGCTGGCAGAGGCCTCTGGGAAGCAGGCTGAGGTCTGCATCAGCACGAGTCAGGTCAGGGGCCCCGAAGGCCGCCCCCTACCTGGAGGTGTCTGTCTCCACGGCCAGCAGAGCTGTCTTGGGGGTGGCTCCGGAAGCTTCTGACGGCTGCTGGCCCCTTCCCCGCTCCCACCCTCGGGCTTAGCCGTGGAAGCCCCGGTGTCTGATGCCTCAGCGCTGGCCTGCTTTCCATCCCCACAGGACTCAAAGAAACCCTCAGCACCCAGCCAGGAGCCGAAGACACCGTCGGGCAAAAAGCTGAAGTTTCCACGCCCTCCCCTGTCCCAGTCGTGGAAGCGGGACCGCGAGCAGACCCTGGTGGCGGCCTACGTGCCGGTGGTGGTAGACCCGAAGGGGCAGAGCCTGGACAAGCTTAGGTTCAAGTTCTACACCTCCCAGTACTCCAACTCCCTGAACCCCTTCTACACCCGGCAGAAGCCTACCTGTGGCTACCTGTACCAGAGGGACGTGGACCACACCCGCAAACGCTTTGACGTGCCTCCTGCCAACCTGGTCTTGTGGCGCTCCTAGGTCCCTCCCGGTCGGGAGATGCCACCTGCACCCTCCCCCGCCACAATCCTGGGTCCAGGAGGGGAGGGGCACTTGCTCCAGGAGGAGCAGACCATGCCCGGCCTGAGACAGCTGTGCTGCGCCCAGTGGCAAAGGGAGGTCTCTGTTCTCGGCAGCAATTAAAGTTTGTCCTTCCTTTCCTTGCCATCTGAATGGGTGGCTGTGGGTGGGTAAACTGAGGCCACAGGGGTGTCGTACGGCAGGTCACGTCCAGAGATGCCCAAAGACTTAGAAGCACTTGATTCTCAGTCCCCTCCCCCTCCCCCCCCCCCCCCCCCACCTCCAGGAGTGACCTCAAGCCCCCTCTAGGGCCTCAGTCCCAAGCAAAGCCCATGCTGGTCACACCATCCCCATAGGCCAAGCTTGGCAAGCCCGCCAAAGTCAAGAAAGAGAGAAGTCAGCTGGCGGTGGCCTGGGTTGGAGCAACCCCTGGAAAATGGGAAGCAGCACAGGGGGCAACGCAGTCTCTGGGGGGCCTCCTCTCCAGCCCTAGTTTCACATCCACCTGTCTCTTCTGACTTGTCGTTTGTTGGTGGCGGGACAGATTTCCCATCTCGTCTCTCCTCTGGTCCAGAAGAGCTGACTCGGGTTAGTCAGGCTCACGGGCCATGTTTCATGAAGACGGGTGATGAAGGCAGAGGGCACTTGACCCAAAGCAGTGGCCTGAGTCCCCGGTCGCCGCCACCTAGAGGCAGATCCGGCGCTATGCCGGGGCCAGCTCAGGCGGTCCTGAGGGATCCGACTGTGGGCATCTCCTCCCAATGCCACAGCCAGTGACTTCGTGTTGGTAACCACTGAAACCAGCAAACACCCATCATCTGGGGTTTCTTCTTTCCAGAGAGCTCGTTGTTAAATATCTGCCATCACACCACTAGGTGGATCCAGCTAGTTCCATTTCTAGGACTCACAGCTCATTCTAGCTGGGGTGGGGTATTCAGTGGAGTATACTTTTGGAGCCTAAGTGTCTGGGGTTGGCTTGGGATGGAGGGACAGGATGTCTGGAGACCCAGACAAGCAGCCAGTGCACTGGCCATGCTTCCTCGGACGCCTTTCTCTGAAAAGAAGATGGTGAGTAGGGAGGAGGGACATGAGCCCTCCTAAAGGTTGTGTCACAAGATAGAGTCTAGGTTTTTCTGTTTGTTGTTGTTGTTGTTGTTGGAGGCTCTCTTTCAAAAGCCAGAGGCGGGGCACCTGGGTGGCTCAGTCGATTAAGTATCCGACTTCAGCTCAGGTCATGATCTCAGGGTTCATGGGTTCGAGCCCCACATGGGCTCTGTGCTGACAGCTCAGAGCCTGGAGCCTGCTTTGGATTCTGTGTCTCCCTCTCTCTCTGCCCCTCCCCTGTTCACACTGTCTCTCTCTGTCTCTCAACGTTTATTTATTTTTGGGACAGAGAGAGACAGAGCATGAATGGGGGAGGGGCAGAGAGAGAGGGAGACACAGAATCAGAAACAGGCTCCAGGCTCTGAGCCATCAGCCCAGAGCCCGACGCGGGGCTCGAACTCACGGACCGCGAGATCATGACCTGGCTGAAGTCAGAAGCTTAACCGACTGCGACACCCAGGCACCCCTCTCTCTGTCTCTCAAAAATAAATAAATGTAAAACAAAAAAATTAAAAAAAAAAAACCAAAAGCCAGAGGTTTTGGGGGCACCTGGGTGGCTCCGTCGGTTGAGCATCTGATTCTTGACTTTGGCTCAGGTCATGATCTCACGTGTTCATGAGTTTGAGCCCCGCGTGGGGCTCTGTGCTGACAGCATGGACCCTTCTTGGAATTCCTCTCTCTCTCTCTCTCTCTGCCCCTCCCCTGCTCTCTCTCTCAAAATAAATAAATAAAATTTTTTATTAATAAAATTAATTTAAAAATATCAAAATATATTTTATATATTATTTATATTATATATTTATATATATATTCAGAATATATTATTTTTTAATTAATTTTTTTATTAATAAAATTTTTATTTATTTATTTTGAGAGAGAGAGCAGGGGAGGGGCAGAGAGAGAGAGAGAAAATTCCAATCAGGGTCCATGCTGTCAGCGCAGAGCCCCACACGGGGCTCAAACTCACGAACACGTGAGATCATGACCTGAGACGAAATGAAGAGTCAGACGCTTAACTGACGGAGTCACCCAGGTGCACCTAAATAAACTTTAAAAAATAAAATAAAGTCAGAGGCTTTCCTCAATTGCCTGGCGATCCTGGGCTGGAGGTCGGCCATTTGGCATCTGTACCTGATTGTCAGTGTTTGAGGAGCCAGCATGGGAAAGAGCTGGGGGGGGTCTCTTCCTTTGCAGACTTTCCCTTCACTCCCGGCTTCTAGAATGACCCTTCTCTCTCCTTGGGGCCCTCCAGTCCAAATGTCCAGAATAACCTCCAACCAGAGGCAGGAGATAGGTGTGGTAGGGCATCTGGGGAGCGCGTGGCTCCTTACACAGGCTTTCCACCCGTCCTATTTCTGCCCCCTGTCCTGCACCCCACTCTGTAGGGCACCTTCTGCCCCATGTCTGAGCCTCCACAGTTCTGTGGCAGGCATAGGCATCACGTCTGTACCATCCTCCACACCCTCCTCTTTCAGAGTGTTTGGGTTTCCACTTCCTGCGCTGAGACAGTTACAGTCGTCCATCTGCCCTCCGTTGTCCAAAATTTTATTAGAACCTCTCACCTATTTCCTTCTTTCTCTTTGTCTCTGTGGACTGGTGGGCTTAAACAATGTTATTGTGGGGCGCCTGGGTAACTCAGTTGGTTAAGTGTCTTGACTTCGGCTCAGGTCATGATCTCACGGTCCGTGGGTTCGAGCCCCGCGGCGGGCTCTGTGCTGATGGCTCAGAGCCCGGAGCCTGCTTCGGATTCTGTGTCTCCCTCTCTCTCTGCCCCTCCCCTACTCACACTCTGTTTTTCGCTCTCAAAAATAAACAAACACTAAAAAATAAAAATAAAAATAAAAAACGTTATTGCCATTTTAGCTGGATTTTGAAAAGCAGAGATACATTTTTCAGTCTACGTGTAACTAAAAGTTCCATGTCCAGTCAATCATCCAACAGACCCGTGCTGAACATCCGAAGACTGGGTCCTTAGGCTGCAACCATCTCTGCCCTCCCAGACCTGAGAACCTTGCGGGGAGGGGTGGGGGTGGGGGTGGGGGCCCGGCATTTTCACTCCCCCAACTGACACCTTCTCCTCTCCCTTGGAGAATGGTCTCCCCCTTGAGGTTCACCTCGGTAGAGCAGCCTTGATGGAAGCTTCCAGGAACCTTTAAAGAAGCTGGCCCAAGTCCCGCATCGCATCGGTGTGGGTGGGATAGTCCCAGGAGGCAAAGACCTGGCACTCAGAGCTCCGTTCTGTTTCTGCGGAGGTGGAGAGTGGGGGTCGGGCAGCTCTGGAGGGGAACCAGTCGGGCCTGGGATTGCTGCCCCTCGCATCTCTTCCCAGCCTAGCTTCCACCTCTGCACACCTGCCCCACACGCTCCCTCTCCTCGGTACCATTCAGCCAGGTAGATCCTCTCACGCTGGTATATGGCGATCTATCCCAGGAGGGATTCCTGCAGACAGAGCAGCCTGGGGAAGCCACACGGCCTCTCTCTGACGTGTCCCACCACACGAGCTGTCCACCCGCGTCCTCCATACCTTTCTTGGTGTGGATCCCAACCCTCTCTGGCTTGGCCATCCGTGTCTGGGAGAAGAATGGAGAGCAGGACTGAGAGAGGCCATGGAAGAGGGAGAAGCTGGGCTCTGGGATTGGGAGGCTGGGGGGTTCCATTCCCATCCTGGGTCTGGGCCACCTCCAAAGGGATTGAGCTCACCGTCGCTGGAATTTTCCAGGCAGAAGGGCCACAGGGAAGGTGCTGGAGTAGGGGCTCGAGGGGCCCTCCAGCTGGACCCTCGAGATTTAAAGGCTTAAGCCAAAAGCCTGGTGATGAGGTAGAAAACTCTGGTACCACCACTTTGAATTTCTGTGGACCTCACAATGACTTTTCTGTCCCCACTTCCTCTCGTGTCACGTGGAAATAATACCACCCCCACAGGGCTATCGTAAGCCGATTCCACAAGCTTAGCGTGCTGCCTCGAACACAGTAGACATTGGATGACAGCTCCACCCTACTCTAGCCTTACTGAATTCTTCCTTCGGTCATGCATGCACGCATTCACTCACTCAGTGTTTTATTTATTTTTTAATTTTTTTAATGTTTTTATTTTTGAGAGAGAGCAAGAGAGCGCACAAGTTGGGGAGGGGCAGAAAGAGAGGGAGACACAGAATCCAAAGCAGGCTCCGGGTTCCGAGCTGTCAGCACAGAGCCTGATGTGGGGCTCGAACCCATGAACCGTGAGCCGAAGTCAGACGCTTAACAGACTGGGTCACCCAGGCACCCCGCACTCACTCAGTGTTTTATTGGGCTGAAGTCCGTCAGTCAAGCGTTACCTTCACAAAGGTACTGAGGAGCATGTTTACAGAGAAGTGGGCACAGTTGAGGGCTGGTGACATGGCCAGAGAGTGGCCACAGAGACAAGCCCTTCCTACTTCTAAGCCTGAGAGGTACAGGGAGGTGGCTTTGTCACCGCAGCTGAGAGAGGGCTTTCGTGGGAGCTGTGGCTGAGGGTAGAAGGAATCAGGGCTCAAACTACGACCCAGCAGGGAGGGTGGGGAGCAAACGCCCAGACTCTTCTCTTTTCCTACCAGCCAGTCTCCTTCCACTGCTTCCCAGGGGATGACCTGCCAGAAGCCAGAGGCCCCGGGGAGCCCAAGTGATCCAGTCCACAGGGGTCAGCCTCCTGGCGCTCAGAGCACACAGAGGAAGGTGGAGAATGGGTGAGGAGGGGGCCAACAGGATAACCAGCGCATGACCATGTAGAATCTTTGGCACTAGGTGCTGGGAGGGTGCGCGAGATGAATAACACAGAGGCGTCCACCCCGAGTTCCTGACGACAGCTGACAATAAACAGCTGCGTATAATTTGAGAAATCAATGAACCTCATGTATGTTATAAATAGAAGCGTAAACATTGTTGGGGCGTCTGGGTGGTTCAGTCAGTTAAGTGTCCGACTTCAGCTTAGGTCATGATCTCGCAGTTCGTGAGATCGAGTCCCGTAAGTGAGAGCCCCGCGTCGGGCTCTGTGCTGACAGCTTGGAGCCTGGAGTCTGCTTCCGATTCTGTGACTCCCTCTCTCTGCCCCTCCTCTACTCTTGCTCTGTCTCTCTTTGTCTCTCAAAAATAAATAAATGTTTAATAATAATAATAATAAAGAACGGTGAACATTGTCTTAGATGTGGTGACCCCTATGACTTCCACCTCCTGCTGTACCCGCCTTGGCACAATCCTCCTCTGAGCGTGGCTGAGATCTGTGACTCACCACTAACCCACAGAGTGTGGCAAAGGTAACAGGATGGCATTTCCTTGGTTAGTTACACAATATAAGCTTCCATTTTAGCAGATTGGAGAAAGATTCTCCTTGCCGGCTTGATGAAATAAGCAGCCACACTGAGGAGCCCGTGTAATAAGGAACTTTGTAAAGTCCTAGAAACTGCAGACAGCCTCTAATAACCGAGAGTGGGCTCCAGATAATGTCTAGCAAGAAGCCAGGGCCCTCAGTCCTATACCCAGGAAATGAATTCTGCCAACACGCTGAATGAGGCAGAAGTGGATTCTTCCCTGGTCAAGCCTCCAGATGTGAACGCACCCCAGATGACACCATGATCACAGCCCTTTGGGACCTGGGGCAGAGGACCCAGTGAAAGTCAGCACAGAGCCAGACTCCTGGCCCACAGAAACCGTGTGATAATAAACATGTAGGATTTTTTAATTTTTAAAAATGTTTATTTTTGAGCTAGAGAGGCAGAGTGTGAGCGGGGGAGGGGCAGAGAGAGAGGGAGACACAGAATCCTAAGCCGGCTCCAGGCTCCGAGCTGTCAGCACAGAGCCCGACACAGGGCTCGAACCCACGAACCATGAGATCATGACCTGAGCCGAAGTCAGATGCTTAACGACTGAGCCCCCCAGGCGCCCCTAAACGTGTAGAGTTTGAAGCTACGGACTCTGTGGTAGTGTTTAAGCAGCTTAGAAAGCTATTATAACACATCAGCAAACCATCGGCGCGCCGAGGCAAGAAAAATGAATTCTGCTGAGATTCGGAAAGGTTCTCGGAGGAGGGTGTGTCTGTGGGAAGAGTGGGGAGGATATAAACCGGGAGCGTTGGAAAGATAAGCTGCCACCTCACCCTCGACTCCTTCAGTCCAAACCCCAAAGCCGAGAGGACTCCGAAGACAAGGACGTGAGCCTGGGCCCCAAGTTCACCGGAGGAGCTTCTCTGGCCCCATATCCGAGCCATGTGCCGGGCGGCCCCCAGCGGCCACTTGCCCAGTGTGCCCTGCATTCACCTCTTTAGGTAGAGGAGAAGCAAAGCAGTCTTGTTTGGTTTCTTGTTCAAAAACAGCTGACCTCTGTTTTTTGTGAGCAGTATGGGTTCATTGTGAATCATTTTAAAAATACAGATAAGGGGCGCCTGGGTGGCGCAGTCGGTTAAGCGTCCGACTTCAGCCAGGTCACGATCTCGCGGTCCGGGAGTTCGAGCCCCGCGTCGGGCTCTGGGCTGATGGCTCAGAGCCTGGAGCCTGTTTCCGATTCTGTGTCTCCCTCTCTCTCTGCCCCTCCCCCGTTCATGCTCTGTCTCTCTCTGTCCCAAAAATAAATAAACGTTGAAAAAAAAATTAAAAAAAAAATACAGATAAGTTTTAAAAAGCAAAGATTAGGGGCGCCTGGGTGGCCCAGTCGGTTAAGCACCAGACTTTGGCTCGGGTCATGATCTCACAGTTCGTGAGTTCGAGCCCCGCCTTGGGCTCTATGCTGACAGCTCGGAGCCTGCTTCCGATGCTCTGCTCCTCCCATGCTCATGCTGTCTTCCTCTCTCTCAAAAATAAATAAACATTAAAAAAAAGCAAAGATTATACTATCGCTGGTGATGTCATGATCCAGAAAGAGCCCTGTTCACATTTTGGTTGTTTCCTTTTAGTTACACGTATCATGTACACAGCAGTGTCGTGTGACAGGGACAACCTTTGTCACAGGCCCCTAGGCTTGGTCTAGGAACTTTCCAGGATCAGCTGTAGCAGTTCACCATGCACCTGTGTGGTGGTGCCCTCACACACACACACACACACACACACACACACACACACCCCAGGCCATAAGGCACACGCTCAATGTCCCCTATCCCCATGCCCGTGGGAGCTGATGGTGTCAGGTGTGGAGTCAGATGGAAGGTTGAATTCAAGCCTCCTGGGATGAGAGAGATACAGTCTCTGGGAATGTAAGAATGTGGTCAGAAGAGGACCAGTGAGTGTGTGTGTATGCATGGCTACATGAACTTGTACACTTTAATGGAGAAGGGGGTTCCCTCTAGCTACTCAGGACTCGTCTTGGAAGCCCACAAACTCTGCATGATTCAGGCATGCTTACACATTAACTACCCACGGTGTGACTGGAAGCCCTCAGTTGTGATGGTCAAGTGCAGTGCACAGTATGTATAACAGTACACAGCAGTCCTGTCAAAAGCCCACAGTTGGTCCAGCTCTGGAAGAGGCGCCAGCTCTATCTCAGACGTACCTCAATTCCATGTCGGAGGGCAGGAACCAAAAACATTGAGAGCCCACTGAAAACAGGAGAAGAAGGGAATGGAGGTCACAGGATCAGAACAGCCACCTATTCGGCCCTGGTAAGAAGGGATAACGAGATTACAAAACGGGTAAGAAAATCCTCTCACCTATCAGCTCAAGGCTGTAATCCTGGGCCTCTGCTTCCCTAAGCTTTGTTCTATTTTCACTCTTCTTTCCTAGGAGCAGTCCCCATTGGCCGCAAGGGTTTAGTGGGGACTTAACACCACTTCTCTGGCTCCTCCTGCACTTGGCCGTGGGGTTGCGCAGCCCCCCATTACCTTTGTCTCTCTGCTCACCTCCTCCTGTGCTGTCTGATTCGTCAGATCTTCTTTGCTCAGCTCTGGACCACTCCGGGCTGTGAGCGAGGAGGGCCCGCTGTTAGAAAGCCGAGCCTCCCTTGTGCAGGGGCAGCGGGGAGCAGGATCCATCCACCTTGGGCGCCGGCCACAGGTGGGGCCTGGGAGATGGGCAACGTGATGGATGGTAAGTCGGTGGAGGAGCTGAGCAGCACCGAGTGCCACCAGTGGTACAAGAAGTTCATGACCGAGTGCCCCTCCGGCCAGCTCACCCTCTACGAGTTCCGCCAGTTCTTCGGCCTCAAGAACCTGAGCCCGTCCACCAGCCAGTATGTGGAGCAGATGTTTGAGACCTTTGACTTCAACAAAGTGAGCAGGGAGGCCTGGGGTGGGGTGGGTGGGCGCTGGAGGGCCGCCCCGGGAGGCCTGGCCAGTGCGGGGCTGCGAGGAGCAGGTGCCAGGACAGTGGCGTCTCCCGGAGGAGGGGGCGCGCTTCTCTGTGTATCTGGGGCTGTGTTAGGGAGTCCGTGGATCTAATGTTCACTGAGCACCTACTGTGATCAGGCACTGGGGGTTCAGAAACGAACCAGAGCCTGTCCGTGCCCTCACTTTTCCAGGGGAAGACAGAGGGGTCCACGGATTAGTGTACCCAGAGGCCCAGTCTGATGGCTTCCTCTCGGTTTACTCCAAACCGAGTGGAAACACTTACAAGACAGCTGTTGGGCACTTACTGAGTGCTGGGTGCTATACCCGGCGCTTTTGCCCAGGCCCTTGGATGCTCGTGGGGTGCAGGAGGAGGAGGAGCGGAGAGGAGAGAGCAGGGTGATAAGTCTGTAGCCCTGGCCAGCCTGGCACAGGCAGGCCCATGTTACATGGGTCACTCCCGGTGCTCTGGGGACAGACAAGGCTGCCTGGTAGCTGGGATGTCCAGACTGCTCCCAACTCCAAAATGCCCAATGACCTCAGCTCACCTTCTCTCAAGTCGGTCTGAAAGTCTGCACGGTGGTCGAACTGTCATCTCCCCGAGTAATCACCGGGACTCCTGATCAGCTAGATGGGGGGTGCTGGGTACAGTGAGTTAGGGCCCTTAGCTCGGTGGCCTCGCACCCAAGATCTACCCCCCACGCTCTGCTCCTTGCCCTGCATCTGCCACGGAGGTTGAGAGCATGGGTTAAGGTAGTTGTTGGTGCCAAGAGCAAATCTTCCGTTTGTTTGGAGCAACTGAGTCAAGATGCAGCGGGAGGGGAACCCAAGGCTACAAACCCATCTCCCCACCCTGGCTGGGCCCCACCCCCCGGCGCTCACCTGGAAGCATGAGGAGGTGATGTCACCCTGCCATGTGCCCACTGCAAACCGGGGGAGGCTGCCCAGAGCTTTCCCGGCCCCCCTCACTGCCCGGAGGGTCCAAACATCACTGCGGACGGGGCTTCTAAGGACAGCTGGGGCTCAGAGGCTATTTAAAACTCACTAATATTTAGGGTTAAGGGGACAAAGCAGATTATGGGCTCTGAGTCCCAACCTCAAGGTGCCCACTGGCTTTCCTGAAGGGGGCGCGGGGGAGCGGAGCACTGGAGCTTGTGGCATGGAGACCAGAAGGGATGGCATCAGCATGCTGGACCCCCCCCCCCCCAAATGCTCCAGGAGAAGGAATAATTCCTGAACAGGAGGGAGAAGGGTCAGTGGTTGAGCCTCAACACCTGACACCTAAACACACCGAGGTATCTCAGCTTCTCACCTGTAAGGAAACCCTTTGGGTCAAGACACATCTCCAAAGGGACGCCCGAAAATCACATATATGACACCAGGGAGGGACACAACCTTGGATTTTGCAAGCACCACCTCCACTGTCCCCAACCTGACTTCCTTGATTGAGCCGGGCACACCTTCGCCTCGGGGCCTTTGTGATGCCCGGGACCCTTGTCCTCCAGAATTCTGCTTGGCTCACACCTTTCCCTGCTACAAGTCTCTGCTCACATGTCTCCTTGCCACTGACACTTGCCCTGATTTCCTGATTGAAACCCTATTTCACCGGGACTAGCCCCTACCCCTGCATTTCCTGTCCCACCTTCCCTCCCCCGCCCCGCAGAGCATACCTCATCTTCTGACAATTGATACTGAACAACACGTGGCCACTATGTTTGTTGTGTCTCCCCTCCTGGAGTGTGAGCTCCATGAGGGCGGGGATTTTTGTCTGGCTGACTCATTTCCGTATCTCCAGCATCTAGAGCAGTGCCTGGACCATCGTAGGGGCTGAACAAATATTTGTTATACGAGTGAATGGATCGATGAGCAATCATGAGTTCTATGGGCTAATTACGTATTTTACAATACACATTCATTTAAATACATAATTATTAAAATGAAGGGTATCTCTGTAATATCTAAAGGGCTTTGCACACACCCACGGTGTAAACCACACTTTGGGCAATACCGCCTCCTACCCATTGTCATGAGCACAGAGCAGACTGGCTACGAGATGGGACACCAGAGTGTGCGCTAAGTTAAACAGGGGTGTGCAAACGATGGCCCGTGGTCCTATTTTTATAAGTGAGGTTTTATTAGAACGCACCACACCCACTTGTTTACATACTGCCCAAGCTGAACTATTTGCTATCTGGTCCTCTATAGAAAAAGTTTGCCAGCCCCTGAGTAGACGGCAGTTATGGCCCAGCCTTCTGTTCCGGGGCGGGGGGAAGGCTGGGGGGTGCAGCAGTGTGAGTGGGGAGTGTGATCCTGGGGATAAACAGGTACTTGGCTTACTTCAAAGTTTTGCCTGGGCTTGGCCGCTCCTGGCACTCAGGCAGGTGCACACAAATCGATGTAAATCTTCACTCCTGCGTCTGAGCGCCGGGTAGGATTTAGGAGGCCTGGTTTCTAGGCAAAGTCTGGCCATTCATCGGTTGTTGGTCTAACCCCTCCTCTCAACTTTAGCTTTCGTCTGGAGACGGGGACAAAAATCCCACCTCTCGGGATGGTGGTGAGATTAAATGAGTAAAGCAAATGAAAATACTCGGCATGAGAAGCACTAGAAAGAAGTTAGTATGACTGTAGTATCATTACTGAATCTCACCCCAAACACAGTCTTGAAAAGTGTGCATTCAGCTTCGGGGGGAGGAACCGAGACTCAGAGAGGCCCTGTGCTTGTTCAAGGCCACACCTCTCCTAAGATGTCCATTATCTTTCTGGCACAAGAGCCCCTACTTTTCTTTGTCTTTCCCAATGTTTATTTTCTTTTTTAAATTTAATTAATCAATTAATCGATTAATTTATTTTTTTAATTTACATCCAAGTTAGTTAGCATATAGCGCAATAACGATTTCAACAGTAGGTTCCAGTGATTCATCCCCTGCGTATAACACCCCACAAGTGTGTTCCTTAATGCCCTTTACCCATGTAGCCTATCCCCCCACCCACAACCCCTCCAGCATCCTTCTGTTTGTCCTCTGTATTTAAGAGTCTCTTCTGTTTTATCTCCCTCCCTGTTTTTATATTATTTTTGTTTCCCTTCCCTAATGTTCATCTGTTGTCTCTTAAATTCCACATATGAGTGAAGTCATATGATATTTATCTTTCTCTAATTTCGCTTAGCGTCATACCCTCCAGGTCCATCCACGTAGTTGCAAATGGCAAGATTTCATTCTTTTTGATTGCCGAGTAATGCTCCATTGTATTTATATACCACATCTTCTTTATCTGTTCATCTGTCGATGGACACTTGGGCTCTTTCCATACCTTGGCTATTACTGATAGCGCTGCTATAAACATCGGGGTGCATGTGCCCCTTCAAATCAGCACCCCCATATCCCTTGGGTAAATACCTAGAGGTGCAATTGCTGGGTTGTAGGGTAGTTCTATTTTTAACTTTTTGAGGAACCTCCATACTGTTTTCCCATCCTTTTCCATTGCCTATTTTTAGCCATTCAAAAAAATTGTGGAAGTAATTTTGTACAGCTCATTGTGAGCATTTCCCACAATCCAGAGAGATAAAAAATGAAAAGCGGAAGTATCCTCACCCCGTGTCCTCTTGCCCAGGGGAAACCTCCTTGGCTGTTTGCTTGCTTCTCTGAGCATTGTGGCATGGGGGGGGGGGGGGTTGCTTGCTCTGTTCCGCGCCCCCCCCGGGGGGGGGTGGGTGGGCAAAAATGGGATGAGCCAAGGCGTATGTGAAAGCCTAGCAACCCAGAGAAGCACCAGGCAAATGTTCACGGTGATCACGACACCCACCGTGGGGCTCCACAGTGAGCTCCGGCTCATCAAGGCCTCACCTGAGGCCCAGGCCTGACACTGGGCCAGGAGATCTCAGAGGCCATCCTGCCCAGCCTCTGCCACATCTTTAATAACAGCGCTCCAGCCTCTACTTGCTCGCTTTCAGTGACAGGGAGCTCATTATTGCACGAGGCTGGCCCTGTCCACCATGGGCAAATCTGCCTGTTGGAGTTCTTCCCGCTGACCCCAAATGTGCCTCTGGGTAACTTCCTGGTTCCACAGTCAGGGCTGTGAATAAATGGAGGAACAGAGGCTGGATTCCAAGTTCACACACTCCGAGTCCTATGCTCAGCCTTTCTGCAAAACACAGGCTTCCCTCTCCCAGCCTCACTGGGCTTGCCGGTGAGATGGGCAGAGGCAGGCCTATGTTCTGTGCTTCCCTGACCCCACTGGTGCGGCCTGTGAAATCCGGGGGGACCCTGGAGAAATAGCCTGCAGGCATGTTTTGTGCCCCCCTCTCCCACGGTCAACCCCTCTGACACTCAAGAGGACATCACCTTTCCCGGGCAAGCCTCCCCAGCCTCTCCTCTGGCCCTTGCCCAAGCAGAGTTGTGTGTTCTTGTTCCATAATGTCCTGTCCAGATGTGTTGCCATTACATCGTGATGGCATCGTGACCTCTTTGTAAAAAGAACCACAGTAAGGGTAGTGACAGAAATAGCAAACATTTACCGAGCGCTTACTATATGCCAGGCAGTGTTGCCTGATTTAGTTACATAAACTCGTTTCATCCCTCCACGGTCCCATAGAGGCAGGTACTATTATAATATTACAGATGAGGAACTTACAGAGACAGCGGGTCCTCGGTCCCAGATTCCACAGCTTTGAGAGGGGTGAAGCCAGGATTCAAACCGGAGCCCCCAACACTGTGCTCCCATCGGGAGCCGGTTCATGTCTTACTGGGTTCTGAAGCCTCTATCACAGCGCGTAGTAGGTGCTCAGTAAAGTTCAAAGAATGAAGGGAAGACTGAGAACGGTGCTCCTTGCCTCCGCATCTACCTCCTGCCCTCTCCCCACCTCTGAAAAACTCAGCCGAACCATGCCCCCTTTCCCTGGGGGTTCGCTTTCTCTTCCCCCGCCTACACACACCTTCCTGCTGCTGGAAGGGGCTCAGGCTTGAGAATCACATGGGAGCAGCCAGTGACCGCCGCCACCGAAATGCCAGTGAAGAGGCGGCAGCACCGTGGACACCCCCTGGGGGCTGGTTTACGGGAGCTGGCGGGGCAGCCTCTGGGGCAGGCGGGGAGGGCTGCGCAGGGGTCGGGGGAGGGCTGCGCAGGGGTCGGGGACAGACGGGGCGGGCCCCGGCAGGAAGGGTGCGGGGCGCGGGCGGCTCGGCCTCTCCTCGGGCCTCCGGGGAGCGGGCTCAAGGCGGCCGCCCCTCTCGCCCAGGACGGCTACATCGACTTCATGGAGTACGTGGCGGCGCTCAGCCTGGTCCTCAAGGGGAAGGTGGAACAGAAGCTGCGCTGGTACTTCAAGCTCTACGACGTCGATGGCAACGGATGCATCGACAGGGACGAGCTGCTCACCATCATCCGGGTAACTCCAGGTGCAGAGGGCCGGGCCCGGGGCGGGGGCGGGGGCGAGGGCGGGGCCGCGCCCTGGGCGGCCCGCCCCCGGAGCTGACAGCCCGAGGGACGGCGAGTTGGGACTTCAGCAGGCGGAACCGCAATCTCACAACGGGACAGGCTTGGGACTGAGGGGGGGGGGGGGGGGGTGGGGAGCAGCTGTGGCCCTGACCAGCTGCCTGACCCGGGGCACGTGCCATCCACTCTCTGGGCCTCTGTTTCCTCCATCTGTACCAAGAGGCAAACTCCTAAATCCCCTCGTTGCCTCTAGTGCCCACTCTGTTGCTCGGGTACCGCGGAGACAGAACTAGGACGGGCCCCCTCACTTCTTTTTCTCCCCAGGCCATCCGAGCCATTAACCCCTGCAGCGACACGACCATGAGTGCAGAAGAGTTCACCAATACAGTGTTCTCCAAGATTGATGTCAATGGGGATGGTGAGGAGGCCCGGACGGGGGCGGCCAGGGCAGAGGGGCGGGAGGGCAGAGGGAGGCCACATCCTCCAGCCGCCCCTGCCCCAGCCACAAGGGTTGGCTTTTAGGGCCCCCTGGACCGGACTGTGGTCTCTGGCTGCTTTGCCTGCTCCCCTCGCAGCCACTTCCCCTAGCATTTGGCTCTGTCCCCCTCGCAAGACTCCAGCTCTGGGCCCCGGTACAACGCTGCCAGGGAGACGTGAGCACCTCCTCCCCGTGACTCCCTTTCTCTCTGCCCCAGGGGAACTCTCCCTGGAGGAGTTCATCGAGGGCGTCCAGAAGGACCAGATGCTCCTGGACACGCTGACACGGAGCCTGGACCTCACCCGCATCGTGCGCAGGCTCCAGAACGGCGAGCACGAAGAGGAGGGGGAAGGGGCCGGCGGCGGGGAGACTGAGGCGGCAGGCTGAGCCCACCGCCCGGCTGCTGGGGAGGGGATGCGTGTTGGTGCCTGGGGTCATCATTGTTGTCATGCTAGATACAGGCTCCTGAACTCAAAGCTCAGGTCGCCCCTCTGGGGTGCACGGTGGCGGCAGATGGGCCGGGGTGGGAGTCGGGAAGGATGGTTCCTGAACCCTGAGCAGGACTCAGCTGGTGGTGACTGCCCCCTGCTGGGCGGCCCTGGGGCCGTCCCTAGGCCCAGCTTTTCCCACCGAGTTTCTCTCTCGAGTCCCACTCTTCTAGAGCGGGGAGCTCTGACGCAGAGCTGGGCTTTCACGGACTCTGATGGAATCCTACAGACCCGGTGGCCACAGCCTCCACGTGGGTGCCGCGATCACACACCGAACCCGCACCCCGGAACCCCGGAGCCTACTTGTGTGGTGCGTTGATTGTTCCTCCCTTCCACAAGCATTTATTGAACACCTCCTTGGTATGAATGCTAGATATTAGACATGCCAAGAAAAGGGTAGTCCTTACCCCCAAGGAACTCACAGGCTAAGCATCATTATAATAAAACATGCTAAGAGAAGGTATGGCACTATAGAAAGTCCTCATTTATCCGGAGGAAATCGGTATCTATTCAGAAGAGGCTGCCCAACACCCTTACTTCCCCTGCTGGCTCCGCAGTGGGGGGTGGTGCCACAGCTGTGTGACTCATTGACTGTGGCCAGCGTCCTGACCGTCCCTCATCTAACCTAACTCCCTCTCGAGGGCTGTGACACCAGTTGGGAAGTGGGGCAGTCTGGGACAGGTGGGCCCCATTCCCATTCTTTGCATACCCCAACTTTAGGAATACCTGTCCAAGAACTTGGGGAGAGACACAGGCTGCAGCAGTTGTGATCATCTTTTCTAAGATGCTCTTTCTTCTGGGCTTTGCGTCTTCACGTCAGCTGGGTGTGGGGGAAGTACAAGGAGTGAGTAAAAATCCAAGGGTAGGAGAGAGAAAACAAGGGGCAAGAGGAATGAGCTCCAGCTTGCGGAGAGCCCCACGAGGGGAAGGGAGGGTCTTACCCATCACTTGGGCCACCCCAGGCTGGAAAGTCAGCCAGGGCCTGAGCACGGACATGGAGGGACAGAAGATGGAGATCAATGTCATGGGCAGCCTGGGGGGAAAAGGGAGTTGACGTTTCTGCTTCTCTGGGTGGCTGCCTCTTGGAACATCCTGAAGGTGGGAGGGGGGAGGGTATTTGAACAGAATTAGGACATTTCCCCAAGTCGGTCACATACCACCTTCATGACTTGTGGACTTATCTGTGTCCCACTTGGGTTGCTATTATTTTTTAATCAACCCTTTTTCACCTAAAATGTGTTTCTAAAGCAAACTTTATATGAATGGCATACCTATGAAATCGCCGTTCAGTAGGTGAGTTTTATTTTTCCTCCATCAACATAAAAACATATGTATTCGAACGGGTTCCTGTTCTGAGTTCCTCAGCACCCCTCTTCAACCAGAGGGACTCCCTTTAAATCTAGTTTGTACACTAGGGTCGCATATAGAGTTTGTATAACAAAATAATTCCACATCTATAACAAATATCTGAGCACTGCCTGTTCAGTCCAACCTGCTCACGGATGAGATAATCGAGGTTAGGGAGAGAGAAATGGTCGCCTTGGGTCACATAGCGGCTGGAGGCAAAGCCGGGCCTACGACCAGTTCTCCCCAGAGACAGAGAGAGGTTTCCCCAGCCTTCAAGGAGACACATCCGGCTTGTGGCCGGAAATCCTGGCAGGTCCATGCACAGGCAGGGGGCAGGGGGCAGGAGGCAGGGGGGTGGGGGTGGGGGTGTGGTTGGGGGGTGCAGAGTGTGGATGAGGGGTAGGGACGGGGACAGAAGGATTGTGTGGGGGTGTGGGTTGACAGCAGGGACTGGGGGAGCAGCACCAGGGCAGAGCTGAAACAGCCCCTTTAAGCACAGCCGACCCTCCAAGGACGGGAAGACCAGGGCCTTACAGGATGCAGTTTTCCCTTGTTGACACCCCTGGTGAGGACAGGTTGGGGAGGGGGAGGCAAGAGCCCTCCCCATGAACTCCTCAGGATCCTGGGGGAGGGGTGTAATTATTATCACACTCACCCCCCGACTCCTATTTCTGTGTCACACTGTGTGGGCACTCTCGCTGCTAATTTGGTCTATGGGACCCCCCAGCCCCACCCTCCCAGTATCCCCCTGCTTCCGGCTGAGAACCCTGTAGGAGACTGTGGAAACCGCCCCCCACCCCCACCCCCCAACGCCCCGCCGCCAACACATACTTGTTCCAGAAGCAGTTGAAGGGAGACAGAGGAAACCAGTTCCCTTCACCACCCCAGTACATCCTCCCAGTGGACCGTCTCCCATTGGCCACTTCAGCCCAACGGCCCCTACCCCCTGCTTGGTCCCAACCCCTTTCATGGGGGGGGGGGGGCAGATAAGAGTGAGCATACACAGGCTGAGCCAGGGCCCCTCCCACTACTCTGGAAACCTGGTGAACCCAGAGTCTTGGAGGGGCCTGTGGACTCCCGAAGGCCCCAGACCCCTCAGAACATGGCGCTTTTCCGCCTCTGCTGAGAGATCCAGCCACCGGGGTTCATGTCCATCTGGAGCATCTTCATCACCCACTTGTCACGACGGGCACCTTCAATGAACTCATTCAGAGACAGCTGGCCTGGGCAAGGGGTAGGAGAGATGGTCATGCGGGAGAGTGGAAGAAATGGGGTCGGGGGCGAGAGGAGAGGCCTTCCCTCCCAGGGCGCGTCCTCTTGCACAAACCTAAGCCTCGTACACAAACGGGCCTGCAGTCCCAGGGCCCAAGCTCGGGGCTTGTCAACTCTCCAATTCTCCAGGAGTCTCCCGGAGGCTTCAAGGGTCTCTTTCAGGGGCTTGCTTTGCAAAGGAATTTAAGCTTTCCTTTTGCCCACGGTGCCTTCAAAATGGTCCTGAGGGCTCTTCCGGGTGTGTCCCCAGCCAGCTCCCTCCCTCCACAGCCTTGGGGCTGGTGCATCCAGCTGCAGGGAGGAGGCCTAAATAGCCTTGGGGGGCAGGGGGGGGCTATCCTATGCCCATCTCTCAAATACATTTACCCTATTTATTCCTCTGGAGCGTTTGTATCCCTATTTTCCAGATAAGAAAACTGAGGCCATGCTAGGAGTTTAAATGGTTTGCCTGAGTCCAAAGCTCCTATTCTCTTGCTGTGCTTGCCGGGCCGGCATCAGCAACTCCGGCCGGGGCTTAAATCACTCTGGTGAACATCGCATCACGTGCCAGTGACGCCCCTGTTATTTTGCGTCCTCCTCTCTGCACCCGGCTCACAGATGAGGATAACAGTGGCTGGGAGGTGGCGGGCCTTGTCCAAGGTCGCAGGGCCAGAAAGTGGGGGTGCTGTGGCGTGGGCAGCCCCGCCCCCTTACCATCTCCGTTCTCATCCACCAGAAGGAAGATCCTGTCCACCACTTCCTCGGGTGTGAGCAGCTGCCCTTGCTGCTCGGCCTCCTCCTCCACCCTGCAGGCTTTCTTCAGCTTGTAGATCGCCTGCGAGAGAAAACCGCCAGCTCCCTCCCTCCCTCCCTCTGCCAGGCCCTCAGCCCTTTGTCCCCAGCGCTGCCCCCCAGCCTGTGCACTGTAGGACCACAGGCCCCAGACCCAAATAAAAATCCACCTGTCCTCGGGCTGCTCTCTCAGGGTCCCACTGGCCTAGTTCCAGCTGAAGAGTGTCAGGCCTCACAGGCCACCTCACCCTGATGCCCTGTGACTGTCAAAGTGAAACCCAAGACCCTCAATGAGGGATGGACCCGGCACTGTGATGTTCCCAAGTCCACTTTGCCCAGGAGGAGATGGAGACCCAGAGGGGAAAAGAGGATACTTATGGACGTGTGTGTAAAACGGGATGAGGGGGGATACCGGCGTTTGGACGGGGGAAAGGACAGGTTTCTGCCTTGCCCTGTTTCCTCTCCCCATGAGGCGGCGTTGGTGAAGTGAAATGGGGAAGAGACAGACAAAGGTGAGGGTTTTCCTCAGTTCCTTGATGGGGAGCTCCGTGGACAGAGCCTGTCTTGTCGATCCCTAGGCCCTCCCTGCCCAGTGCAGTGCCTGGCACAATGTGGGTCCCACTGACCCGGGTCTGAGAGCCCCGGGGCTAGGGCCAGCCGCAGTGCCTCCTGGGATGGATGAACTCGGGCAAACCACAGAACTGCCCCGAGGCGACTTCTTTATCTGTGAAATGGGCAGACAACCGCCCCCTGGGAGTGCAGTTCTAGGGCGGTAACAGGGTGACGCAGGTCGGGGGTCAGTCTGTGCTATAGTAGGTTCTTTCTTCTACTCTCATTGCTTTTTTTTTTTTTTTTTTTAACTTTTTGTAATGTTTATTTACTTTGAGAGAGAGAGAGAGAGAGAGAGAGAGCATGAGTCAGGGAGGGGCAGAGAGGGAGACACAGACTCCGGAGCAGGCTCCAGGCCCTGAGCTGTCAGCACAGAGCCCGACCCGGGGCTCGAACTCACGAGCTGTGAGATCATGACCTGAGCCGAAGTCAGAGACACTTAACCGACCGAGCCACCCAGGTGCCTCTCATTGGCACCTCTCATGCCTCATGCCTCTCACCTCTTAATTGCCTCTCATTAATTTACTCTTCTTTTTACTAATTTCTTGAGATGACTTCTAACATCAGCGATTTCCAGCCTCTTAATTTTCTGACATCTACCTTTTAAGGCGCTAAAATGCTCTACAAGTCCAGCGTCGGCCGCACTCCACAGCCGATTATGTTACGTGAGCATTATAATCCGGCTCCGTGCACTTGGTGCGTATATGCATGTGATGTAACGTCTTTCATTTATGGAGGAGTTAGGAGTGTACCGCCTTATTTCCAAACAGATGGGGATTTTTTTAAGGTGTCTTTTTGTAGTGGATTTCTAGCTTAATTCTGACCTTTGTCAGAAAGCACCCTCCGAATGATCCCCGTGCTCCTTCCCCCACCCCAGCCCCGGGGGCCCCAACTTGAGGGGCCGGGCCTCAGAGCCCAGCAGTGCTCACGCGCCCAGGCCCCACGGGCGGATGCCGACCTCCACAATGTCGAGCAGCTCCAGGCGGTCGATGCAGCCGTTGCGGTCCTTGTCATAGATCTTGAAGGTCCACTTCAGCTTGTGTTCCAGGGTGCCCCTCAGCACGAGGTTCAGGGCGGCCACATACTCCAAGAAGTCGATGGTGTTGTCCTGCAGCGGGAGTGGGAGCTGTGAGGTCCCTCCCGCCTTCCCCAGAGCTCAGGCGAGGGCCCTATGCTGGGCCGTCCGTGCCTACAAATCCAAGGCTTTGCTTCTGGCCATCCGTGTGGCTTCAGTGGCCTCGCTGGTACTGTTCTCCACCCCGGCATCCTTTCCCACTCTGTGATCACTCAACTCTACCCGTCCCTCAAGGCCCAGCTCAAGGGTCCCCTCTTTCAGGAAGCCCTCCTTCTCTGACCACCTACAGTGTTCTGTCTCTCTTGCTCCCTCTTCTAACATTCACAACACTTGCACTTTAATCCGCACAGTTTGGGCCTTATTCTGGCATCGCCACTTGGCCGTTTCGTAAGTCTGTCTCATTCTTGAGCTGTATTCTACACATGCTCCTGGAGAAAAGAGGGGCTGACGTTGCCTTTGTCTCCCCCTTGTGCTTAGCATGGCGCCACTTATGTGCAGAGTCAGGGTCTCAAAAGTATTTATGAATCAACGAATACGTGATTGACTTAATTTCAACCTGGGACTAAGGCACCTCTGGAAGATGAGAAAGCAGTGCTCATGGCAAAAATGTCCTTTATCCTTTTACACCTTCCGAGCCCGAGGGGAGGCGGACAGGCGATGGCTCCAGCCCCGTGTGGACATTACCTTCCCTGAAGGACAGGCACCCCCTGTCCCCACCCAGGAAGGAGGGCGGGAGACAGAGCTCAGGTGCTAACCCCCCAGAGGTAGGAGACGGGCACAGTCTGCTTCTGTGGCGACTCTGACCAGGTCACTGAAACTCCTTCTAACACAAATGTGGCAACAATTACTCGAAAAGCAGTCAACAAGAGGCAGGGGGCACACCTGCTTCTTGCCCTTCTACGCCAGTCGAGTGTGAGGGGAGAGGCTTGCGGTGATGGTGTCTGCAGTGGGCTGGTCAGGGTGAGCCTCACAAGGGTGTTCCCGTTTATGGGTGCTCCATCCCGTCTTCTTTTTTTTTTTTTAATTTTTTTTTTTTAACATTTATTTATTTTTGAGACAGAGAGAGAGCATGAACAGGGGAGGGTCAGAGAAAGAGGGAGACACAGAATCTGAAACAGGCTCCAGGCTCTGAGCTGTCAGCACAGAGCCCGACGCGGGGCTCGAACCCACAGACCGCGAGATCATGACCTGAGCCGAAGTCGGACGCTCAACCGACTGAGCCACCCAGGCGCCCCTTCCTCCCGTCTTCTGAGGGTGGGGACCTCAGCTCTCCAAAGCCAGAAGCTGAGTCATCACTCTCCCAGGAGTGGCTGTCGCTCACAGGACTTTGTCATCAGAAATGACATCACTGGCCCAGAGCACCTCTGTCCTACTGGGTCATGCCACTCAGGCGGCCCCACCCCCAGATCAAGGGGTGCTTGGGTGAGCAACAAGTAAACCACAGAACACAGCAGAACATGAGACAAATTAGAAAGCCTAAGGAAAAACCAAGAAGAAAACAAAACGAGCCCACCTCAACACCCAAAGTGTCATGTCATATATATATATAGAACTATATATATAGCTATATATATAACATGATATATATATGTATATATACATATATACATATACATATACATATATACATATATATATCATGTTGGCCATCATTATTTTTGAAGTTATTTTTTAATGTTTATTTTGAGAGAGAGAGAGAGAGAGAGAGAGTATGGGGGAGGGGCAGAGAGAGAGAGGGAGACACTGAATCCCAAGCAGGCTCCAGGCTCCGAGCTATCAGCACACAGCCCGACATGGGGCTCGAACTCATAAACCGTGAGATCATGACCTGAGCCGAAGTCAGATGCTCAACCGACTGAGCCACCCAGGTGCCCCCCAAAGTGTCTATTTCAACATCTTTTATGCGGTTACTTCTGGTCTTCCACACCCCCCCACCATGTATTTACCTAATCGAGGTCAGACTGTAGCTATGTTATTTCCTGGATTTTTATCTTAAAATGCCCCATGTCTTTAAAATTAATTGAAATCATACCTTTTATCTTTTTGAGGGGTACTCCCCTCAAGCAGTCCCTTGTGCTGAATGAACCTGGTTTAAATATTTTATGTTACACAATGAACATCTTTGTGTGTGTGTATATATATATATATGTATATATATATATATATTTACAATATATATATTGTGTGTGTATATATATATTTATAATATATATATAGTGTGTGTGTATATATATATTTACAATATATATATTGTGTGTGTATATATGTATTTACAATATATATATATTGTGTGTATATATATATATATTTCTTATATCTCTGGTAATTTCTTTAGGGTAGGTTCTTAGCAATGGCTGTTCTTTTCTTTTTTTTTCACTAGTGTTTAATCCGCTGTTTGTGTCAGTCTATCATTCTATGAGATTTTGTCACACATGAAGCTATGAGTAGTATCAAATATCAATACAAGGACGCTCTCTGTTACCACTTAAGAGTTACCTCCTTCCTCCGACCAGACTTGGCAGCCATTAATCTGATCTCCATCACTATAGCGTATCCACTTGAAGAATGGTATACAAATGGAATCGCACAGTATGTAGCCCTTTAAGGTGGGCTTGTTGTGCTCAGTGCAAAAAGCCCTGGGGAGTCACCCAAGCTGTTGAGTGTATCAGCACTCCCTTCCCTGCTATTGCTGAGTGGTCCTCCACTGCATGAATAGCCCCCCGTTTATTCTACTCACTCATTGAAGGTTATCCGGCTTGTTTCCAACAACCGCCCCTCCCCCGCAAGCTTTGTTGAGATATAATTGCCGAATGGCCTTTTAAAGAACATTGTGTAAGTTTAAGGTATACGCCGTGATGATTGGTTGTTCTTTAAAAGATTATTTTCATCAGTAATTGTTACTTATTAAGTTTGCTAAAAATTAACCTTATGTTTTTTTTTTAAATAAGAGTAGGAAAATGTATGCAAAATGACTGGTAGGGGTGTCTGGGGGGCTCAGTCAGTTAAGTGTCCAACTTTGGCTCGGGTCATGATCTCACGGTTTGTGAGTTCGAGTGTGCTGACAGTGAGAAGCCTGCTTGGGAGTCTCTCTCTCCCTCTGTCTCTGCCCCTCCCCAACGTGTTCTCTCTCTCTCTCTCAAAATAAATAAATAAACTTTAAAAAAGGGTTATAAATAAAAAAGAAAGCAAGCAAATGGCTGGTAGGAACCGTCTATTTCACACACACCATTTCTCTCAGGTTTGTTATACCCACTTTATGGATGAGGAAACTGAGACTCAGAGAGGTTAAATAAGTTGCTCAAGGGAAGCCCACTCTGGAAATGGCAGAGCCTTTCAAGCTACATGTCTTTTCTAGTTCAAGTTGAGAACTTTCTTACTCCTCTCAAGGTATATGACTGTCTAAAAAAAATGAGCCTTGGGGCGCCTGGGTGACTCAGTCGGTTGAGCGTCCAACTTCGGCTCAGGTCATGATCTCACGGTTCGTGAGTTTGAGCCCCGCATCGGGCTCTGTGCCGACAGCTCAGGGCTTGGAGCCTGCTTCTGATTCTGTGTCTCCCTCTCTCTCTGCTCCTCCCCTGCTCACACTCTGTCTCTCTCTCAAAAATAAATAAAGATTAAAAAAAAAAATTAAAAAAAAAAGAGCCTTGTATCTAGCACCACAGAGAGAAAAACCAAAAAACCAAAAACCACTGATAAATCCTTCCTCTCTAGCTCTATAGATTCTCCCACATTCTTCGTCTAGAACATTCTGTCCTGACAGCATCCTCCCTCAACATGACACGGTTACCACAATGAGCCCTTGCCTCCCATGAGGCACACTAGAGTTAGCCCTTCCAGAGGAGTGACCTCAGCTGTAAAGTTGCTCCGACCCCAGGACGAGTCCTGGGAAGCTCCCAGCTGGGACTCATCTCACGCTCTGTGCCGGGCCCTCGTCAGCTTCAATTACCCACAGAGCAATGGGAAGATGATGGAAATGCCTCTGTCCACTCAAGAGTAGGAGCAGAAGTGACAGGCGTGTGATCTGCTCTGTGGGATTACCTGCCCCATTTCTCCCTGAATTGGCTGCAGTTGTGCACCAGCCCCGGCCTTAGCGCACGTTACATAAGGATCCCAAATGACATTTGATTTCACCTTCCCTTTGCTTCCATCCCAGTGCATCGCAGGGCAACCACTGGAGAGAAGAGTGTGGCAAGGGAGAGGCGTAGCAGGGATGAGGCGTTCTGGCCTCTTTGCCTCCACCAAACTCCCATTTCTATCACCCTAGGTTAAAAATTTTTTTTTTAATGTTTATTCATTTTTGAAAGAGGGAGCATGAGTGGAGGAGGGGGAGACAGAGAGGGAGACACAGAATCGGAAGCAGGATCCAAGCTGTGAGCTGTCAGCACAGAGCCCGACGTGGGGCTCGAGCCCACGAACCGTGAGATCATGACCCGAGCCGAAGTCGGACGCTTCACCCACTGAACCACCCAGGTGCCACGCTGTCACCTCAGATTTGGACATGTGAGCTGTATCTATGAACTCCTGATTTCATTTGTCTCCAAAAGCTCAGACCAGTTGCCCAGAAATCGGACTCACTAACCTAAAGATGGTGCCAATGTGGGGAGTGGAGACGGGTGTGGGTTTGGAGACAGAAACTAAGCGGGAAAAGAAAGAAAGAAGGCTCAGTCCCTGACAGAGGAACTTACCACACCTCTGGAAAGCTTTTCCTCAACAGAATTCCAGTTAATAAATGGAGAAGGGATGGTAGAATGCGAAAACTATCGATGGATGCCAAAGCTAGCAGATGAAAATCAGAGGAGCGACAGGATATTGACTTCTCTCAAAGTAGCTCCCTGTAAGATGCTTGTTAATTACAAAGGAAAAATGGTAACTTTCCGGGGGAGAAACCTGGCAGACATCATGTAACCAACCCCTGTAATGGGACAGACCAACATCATGTGCCCCCGACAGGGGGCACTGAGAAGGACATGAGATCATTCCTGGGGCATTTCTGCCAGAAATGGAAAACCTGAGTCTAATCACAAAGCCACACTGAACAAACCCAAATTGTGGGATGTTCTACCAAATTAACTGGCCTGCAATCTTCAAAAATGTCAGCGTCAAATAAGACAAAAGCTAAGCATTGAAGGTTCTCAATTAAAGTCTAGAGACAGGACAAGTAAATGCAATGCATGATCAGATCCCACCGGCGGGGCCCCCCGCTCCAAATAAGAAAAACAAGCAAGCAATATAGAGAACACATCACATGTCAAATTGACAAAACTTGAATATGGATTAGCTAATAGAATTGGGTCAATATTGAATTTCCTGATTTTCATCTTTGTATTAGGTTATTTAAGAGCATGTCCTTGTTCTTAGAAAGAACACACTGAAATACTTAGGGGTAAAAGGATGTGATGTCTCCAACTTTCTCTAAAGAAAGACAGACACGCACACGCACAGAACAATCAAGCAAATGAGGCAAAAGGTACAACTGGACAAATTGTACATAGGAGTTACTTATGCTATTCTTTCAACTTGGTATACATTTGAAATACCATCAAAAATAAAAGTTCTAAAGAAAGGAAAACAACAATGAATACAATTTGTAAAAGAGATAAGGTATAAGGAGTACAGCTGTACCAGGCCCACAGGCTTGGCAATCCCCCCTCCCCATTTAAGTTTCTTTATTTAGAGAGAGAGGGAGGGCACATACACACACAAGCAGGAGGGGGCAGTGAGAGAGGGAGAGCCCCAAGCAGGCTCCATGCTGCCAGTGTAGTGTCCCACGCCGGGCTCAAACTCACGAACCGAGATCATGACCTGAGCCGAAACCAAGAGTTGGACGCTTAACTGACGGAGCCACCCAGGTGTCCCTTGACAATCCCTTTTGGATCTTGAGTTGCTATCCTACTGAATTTAAAAAAAAAATTTTTTTTTCAACGTTTATTTATTTTTGCGACAGAGAGAGACAGAGCATGAACGGGGGAGGGGCAGAGACAGAGGGAGACACAGAATCGGAAACAGGCTCCAGGCTCTGAGCCATCAGCCCAGAGCCTGACGCGGGGCTCGAACTCACGGACCGCGAGATCGTGACCTGGCTGAAGTCGGACGCTCAACCGACTGCGCCACCCAGGCGCCCCATGAATTTTTAGGTGAATGTGGGGAAGATTGATACATTTATGATAGCAAATCTTGTTGTGTGTGATCTGGTTTGTTTTAAAACCATTTTCTCTCTTAAAAACAAAACAAAACAAAACAAAACAAACTGCCTTCTAAGCAGGCACACTCGACTGCGAGTCAGGACCCTTGAGTATACGACCTTGGGCAAATCAGCTCACTTCCTCTTGTCCCAGTTTTCTCTTCATTTCATTTGGATCATTAAATGGGCTGCAGAAGGCTCGGAGGAGAGGGGGCAGAAGAGAAGCTTGGAGAAGTCTGAATGTACTCTGTGCCCCACGAGGGAGTCCATAGGTTTCATCTCTAAGGAGGTTTCTGTTGCCCTGACGCTACCCCACCCTCCATCCCCCTACAGATGCATGCTAACTGGTACCCGGACAAGGTCAGACACTAACAGGCTTTCCCAGTGATTCAGCCTACAAAGTGAAGCT